ATACTCCATCCCGAAAGAGATCGCCTATACTCTACTGGAGTATGACTGCGATCAATTTGAACATTTGATGGCTCATGCCTGGGAAGAAGCATCATCCTCCAAGACTTACGAGATACCCTGACTTATGCAAGTAGCAATGATATATCATCATATTCAGGAAACCAAGTACAGAAAGAACTTACTGCTTTTTTAAGTGCTTGATCAAGATCCTGAATCAAATCCTCGACATCTTCGATCCCCACCGATATTCTTATCAGATTATCAGTAATTCCAAGTCTAGTACGAATCTCAAGAGGCACCGATGCATGGGTCATTATTGCTGGCAACTCGGCGAGACTTTCGAAGCCTCCCAGTGATTCTGCTACTGTAAAAATCTATAAAAAATAGCACTGTAAGTAAAAGGGGGCTCGAAATGCTTTCTTAATATTGATATGTGATTCAGTGTGCTGCTGAGGAGCTAATTCTGGAGAACATGCTTGGAAAAATTACTACTTCTGAGAAATGTACTAGTAAAGATTATTACTGGTGCAACGCCATCGGTAGAGAACCGTGTCTGCTTTCGCTACACAAAGTAAGGGGAATACAGCTTCTGGTAAGTGAAAATTTTGGCAGCAGTGAGAGGATAAAAATGGTATGATGAAAAAAAGCACATATCCCGAATGGATTTCTAGCAACTGAACCCATTCAGAACGAATCTTTGAAAAAAATTTTTTTAAAAAATTAGCTTTTTTCGAATTATTCTTTTTTTAGGAAAATATTATTGGATTCAAAAAATTCAGATATTTTGCCGTGCTATATAGTCAAAAAATAAATAAATACCTTTAGGCCCGACAAAAATTCTCTGGATTCGTCTATTCCTCCCTTCAAATAAAATGACATCATTCCACTCATTCCTTTAGCCTGCTTTTTGTGAATATCATGGTTAGGATGCGATTCAAGTTCTGGATACAGTACCTAAAATTTGAGCAGCTCTCATTCATATCCAATTCCATCGAAAAGCAGATTGGAACACTCCAAAATGGAGTAGTACCATGTACCAACAGCAACCAACCTTTGGCAAGGATGGCTTATAACTCCCTCTTCAGAGGACGCTTAGAAGAAAAGTTACATTCCAGACATGCCACTGTCAAATTTACCATCGAAACGAATGAACGAATCGTAGAGAGAATGGTTGCACATTGAGGAGGGCAATGCCTCGTTTTCAACAAGAAAACAATGCTTAATCGAAAAATTATTTTTGAAAGTAATAATCCTGCCTATATCGAAAC